AGCCCCAAGCCAACGAAAACAAACAAAGTAAGCATGGAGGTGGACACGTGGGACGTATACATCGGTCCGAACCCCACGATGTCCATGCTGGCACGGAGCTCAGTGTCCAAACGTGACTGATGAAAGCCTGCGCCCTTAACCCCGCGAAACTGTAGGGTGTAGGGTTTAGGGTTTAAGGTTTATAAGGGTTTAGGTTTAGGGCTTTTAAGCCCTAAACCCTAGCTCTTGACTAGCCTCAAAATCCCTGATCCCGAATCCTTCAACCCTAAACCCTTATACCCCTCAACCAGCTACATCTCAGAGTTGTGAATGCACCTCTAAAGCCTGTGGCCCCCAAAGCCTTAACTCCTTAAAGCTCTTGAACCCTAAGCTCTAAACCCCATAAGCCCCAGACCCCAGACCCCGAACCCTAAACCCGGAACCCCAAACCCTGTTCGGATGTCGCTGGACCTTTTTGGCTTCGCCCCCGCCGCCAAAAAAACATTTCATGGACCTTCTTGGTCCAGATCCTGTCCGAAGCGCGGTAGGAAAGTTAAGCGTGTAGGGTTTTAGGGTCAACCATGTTGATCCAAGCACAATTGCAATGCCCTTAGGGGAGGAGGGGTCCGAGGTAAGTAGGCAATCTAATCCCAGTACTCCCTGAACCCTAAACCCTAAACTCCCTCAACTCCCTCAACTCCCAAACCCCTAAACCCTAGACTCCCTAAGCCCTTAACCATCAGGCTCCCGAGCTTGCCTAAGGATCCCAGGCAAAACTCGGGTTCCGAAGCCTAATTCGGGCCCATAAGGTACACGACTGGTATAAGGGATTGGGGTTTTACGGTGAGGCTTGAACTGTTTAAGACTTTAAGGATTTGGGGTTCAGGGTTTAGGATACAAGGGCTATGAAGCCTTCGAACTCCTGAAGGCCTAGCAATCCCTGACAGAACCTTGAAGCCGTCCACTCTGAATGCCTGAAAGCCCCGACACCTTAAAACAGAAGCCAAGGCCCCCCTAGCTTAAACTCTTGGGTTTAGGGTTTAGGGTTAGTTAGGGTTTAGGGTGTGAACCCTTCAAGCTGCTATGCACTTTACCTTAGTCCCGAAGTCCTAAACCCAAGCCCTGAACCCCGCACCCCACGAGCCACCTCTGCAAGGTGTCCACTCTCTCCAGTGAAGTGGGTCATTGTGAGGCATTGCGGGCAGCGGTAAATCCTCACCCTTAAACCCTGCGTTTAAAGGGTTTCGGGTGTAGCGTTGTCGATGCCGCTTCATGGTTGAAGTTGAGTGCGCATGGCGTAGGAAGGTCTTGTGTGTTGCGTGGTCCCCTTTGTTTAGGGAATCCCTTAGCTGGTGCTCGGCTGGGGAGAACTCCGCGCATGGGGCTGGTATTGTTTTTTCTCAAGGAAGCAACGAGGCCCGAAGCCCTACATGTGAACCTAAACCCCAGATACCCTATAGACCCCATAACACCTGAGCCCTAAAGCCCTAAAGCCTTTAAAGCCTAAACCCACAGCTGTCTTCAAGTAGGCCCTCATTCCCTTTGTTTAGGGTTGAGGTTCCCTATTTAATAAGCCCCTTTGAACCAAAAAGGGTGCCCTTTTTGTTCCTAGGTTACTCCTGTGTCTAGTGGAGGGGTTCGGCTGCAGGTCATCACGGCATGCTGTACCGACGAGCTTCCCGTCTGGACTTAGGGAATCTTGGGGATGTGTCTTTTTCGCTTTTTTGGGTACTGCAACATCCAAAGAAAAAGATAAAATTGAGATTTTTGCTTGGGTCCCAAGTTGAGTATAGTGGAAGGTGAGTTTGAGGTTGAGGGTTTGGGGGGTTTGGGGCTTTCCGGCTGTAGGGACCCCAGCCCCTAAACCCTAGACCCAGACTGTAGTTCCTACAGATTCCTACACCCCAGACCCCCAACCACCGATCCCCAAACCCTAATCCGAAACCCCAAACCCGAAGTCCTAAGCCTTACAAGCCCTAACCTGGGATGCTCCACCTTATACCAACATTTAGGGATTATAGTACCCCCTGTTAGAATCCCCATTAAGGACTGTTCCTACAAGGGGGAACTCCCAAACCCCAAACCCTAAACCCCAAACCCTAAAGGCCCTAAACCCTAAACCCTGAACCCTGAACCCTAAACCCTAAAGCCTAAAGCCTAAAGCCTAAACCGCAACCCTAAGCCCCAAAAGCCTCTCGGCTTCCCAAGTTCCCAAGTACCTGAACACTGGAGTCGCCCCCAAGCACCACAGATGAAGGCACCCAGGATCCCCGCAATGAGGGTTTGGGGTTTGGGGTTTAGGGTTAAGGGTTTAGGGTTTAGGGTTTTGAGTTTAGGGTTTGGGATTTTGAGTTTAGGGTTTGGGGTTTGGGGTTTAGGAAGTAGTAGAATGGGCCTCTGTAGTTAGTGGAGTTATGGTTAGTGGAGGCCTCCTTTCATGCGGGAAAGAGGGCGCACTTTTACCCCTTGACGGGGTCTCAGTCCCCAGATCTTCCAGTAACCGTTACTTAAAGGAATATTCCCTAATTCATAATGAGAATTCTAATAATCCTTAGTATTAATTAGGATATATTCCTTTATTAAGGGGTTTTGGAAGATCTGGGTCTAGGGTACTATAGAGGCCCCCTTACTTTTGATCAACCCCATGCACAGGCCCTAAACCCGAATATAGGGGTCAAAAGAAGTACTAATCGTCTTCCCTGATGGTCCCTGCATAAGAATACCATAGTAACCCCCAAAACCCTTTTCTAATTATGAAGTCCCCTGTATTACCCGCGTCCCCCCCCCCACCCAACTCTCCCCGCCTCGTCGTTGTTGGCTCCGGTTCGGTTCGCACACACAAGTTACATCTCTAAACTCCCCCAAACCCTGCAGAACCTCGGCCTTTAGGGTTCAGGGATTAGGGTGCACAGGTATAACCCTAAACCCTAAACGCGGGCCGCAGCCCTTTTGCCAGGTTCTCCCTCTGCTACAGCACAACCGCGGAGTACAAGCTGGCAACGACTGCCGCTTGGGTCAATTTTGGCACAAAGCTGTCAAGGCTCCCCAGTACCCTGGGCCCTAAACCACTTTGGGGCTGTACCTGTAATAGATTACGGGCGCGTAGCTCTAGGTCCTAGGGCACCCATCTTTTAATGCCTGCCCCTAAATTGTTTTAGAGGTTTAGGGGTTAGGGTTTAGGGTCAGATAAGCATGGAACATGTAACCTTAGGGGACCTTATAGGGTTTGGATGTCCCTAGATCGCTCTGAGCGAATCCTCAGCAACGGCTCAGGTTGTGCGCACGGACGAAGCCAGCGGCTGCCTGGCAGAATCGGGCGATGGAAGAATGATAAATGTATCCAGATCTTCCAACCCCTTAATGATGGAACAGACCCTATATAATTCATAGCAATAATCCTTAGTATACATGAGGGTATATTCCTTAATGAAGGGGTTTTGGAAGATCTGGGTAATGATCTTAAAGGAAAGCAGCAGAAGGCCATGTTCGTGTACCTTCTATTGCTGACTTGGGTCGGAGATGCTTCCGGAACGGAAGGGATTACTGGATTGGGTAGAAGCCTCCAGGAACACAGGACTTTTGTTTTGAGCACCTTTATTGTGGTCGAGGATTTCATCCGACGTTCCAAGACGTGCCAAGTAGCAAGCAGGCCTTAGCTACTGGAATCAGATCGCGAACCTTTAAGTCCCAAATCCTAGCCCCATTGGACCGACGTCAAGGGCTCGCAAAGCTGACATTCAGTTTCTGAAGAAGAAGAAGAAGAAGCAGCTGGGTTGCTGTTGAGGAGCTTAGTGCTTGGTTTGCGGACAAAATACCGATAACATGTACGACAAAAGCATGCTCAATCTGTTTACGGTTAAGGCTTGGGGCTCAGGGGTTTCAAGTTGCCTTGATATTGCTCTTTCGTACGAGACCTGGTTCTGTCAATTTCGTTGAAGTTTCCTGAGCAACCCTAAACCCTAAACCCTCAACCCTAAACCCTACACCCTGCACCCTAATCCCTAAAACCAGGAAGACTGGGTCAAAGCATCCTGCGGCACAGACTCCCGAGACTCCGGAGACTGCATTAGTCGTGGACGTTTCGGAGTCTGAGGGGTCTCGTGATCCCGTGCCGCCGGAGGCTGAGTGTCTCCCACACACCCGGCTCAGTCTCTTGCAGGATGCACAGGAGCTCTTTGACCAAGTCTTAGACCAAACTTGCAGGATGCACAGGAGCTCCAAGACAAGGTTTTAGGCCAAAAGGACGCAGTCGCCGCGCCAGTCGCAGATATTGGATCCAGTTGGCTGCGAGTGCTTGGTTGAGCTTGGTCGTCATGCTGATGATCGTCCCTGGCGCAGGCATTCTTACGATACCCTACCTTTTTTGGTCTTGCAGCGTGCGGAAGTGGCACCTCGTGGGCGGGAACTGGCTGCACTGTTCGGGGTCCTTGCAATGCCTTTCTGAGTTTCTGGCTGAGATGTGCTTCTTGTTCTACCTCACGCTTGCGCTTATGTGGGAATTGCTAATCGTTCATGCTACCGTCAGCCGCATGTCAAGTGAGGGCATCAGCTTCCGCCGAGTTGCCGAGATTTTACAGATACAGGCTTCCTCCACAACTTCCGAAGTGGGCTTGGTTTTTCTGCTGCGTATTCTCTCAATACACATCGTTGGAGTATCGGCCCAGGTTCAGTGGCACAAGTGTCAGGCCTTGAAAACCTTGAACATGTCATCTGGCAACAGTGCGGCTATCGTGAAGTCGTTTGCAGAGAAATTCGGTGGCAGCTGGCGCCTTGGATGTAGGCACATACCAAGCAGCGTCTGGAATGTGAGACATCAGGGTGCCCCATCTTGCTTCGAGCGAGTTCTCTTTCCATTCTCAGCCCCTGTCCTGATTGCTGGTAGGGCTCTGCGTCAGATCCGGTTTGGGAGAGCTGAGCAAGATGATTCTTTTTTTGCAGTGCTTCTGCTTACTACTATTCTTGTAGCTATTCTACAAAGCCTTTGCTGGGCAACCGTTCTTTTTCGGATATGTTCTTCAGCCATGGGGGTCAAACGAAATCAAGTTCAACTGCTTCTTTTCTCGTGTATCTCCTTAGACTCGATTCAGTACTTGAGTGCTACAGAGAGGGAACTGTTAGACGAGATGGGCCAGCTGGAAGAGGATTTCAGGCAGAAGTATTTGCGTATCAAAGGGGACTTGGGCAAGGCCCAACGCTGCTCGCATCGAGCAGCGAGCCCAACCCACACAAACTGGGAATTCGACTCCTTGGTTCTGGAGAATATGAGGCAGGTCGAAGACGTTGAAACATGGTGGGCAGTTCGGAGGTTCGTCCAGATTGATTGCAAAGATGAATCTGCCATCATGGATGCTTGTGGGTCCGTTGTGTTATTTCTTCTCCAAGGATTCCTTGTCAGTGGCATAGCGGACTTGTCTCTTCACAATGACCCTTCTTCACCCTTCTTCCTGACGAGTCTTGTACTGTCATTGGTTGTGATCTTCGTCATGCTCAGAGTCTTCGAAGTTTGCATTGGGATCAACAACATTTTGGATCGTGACACTTTCTTTTTGACCGAGGCCATGCTCAAGGCGGTGCATATTCCGGATCCTGTTGAGCGGACAAGGGTGATATCAGCTTTACAGGCGATTGAGCGGAGGCTGAGTGTTTATGATGACAAACAAAGGCTGGTGGGCATCGAAGCGACTGCCAACTTGAGGAACGGTTGGATCGCGTCTCTGTTCGTGACACTTTTCAGCTATGGGTCTCGTTTCGTGACGCCAGTCCTGTCTCAGTTAGATATGGACTTCTTGGAGCAGCTCCTTCGAAACCAAAGCGGCTTGGGAGGTGAAAGCTAGTACACCAAGAAACTGCCTGGATGAGGCAATGTCCGCCGTTTCGCTAACGATGGTCCCAGCAGCGCTGTGAAAGTGAGCTGGAGTCTATCAGAGTTCTTCGCAGGAGGATTTTGGGTTTAGGGTTCTTTCAGGCCTTAAAGCCTTAGGGTTTAGTGCCCACATTCTCACACATGCATGTCGGGTTGAATCTCCATCCCGGCTCTACTTGTCATGTCGAGCGACGCCACTCATACTCACTTCGCCTTTAGTTGAACTTTAAACTTTTTGGGCTTCCTCATTTAGTAGGAATATTAAAGTTTAAACTTTTTCCCCTTGGTTATTGGAGAAGTAAGCATAATCCCCAAGAATCGTAATCCCTTTCCCTCCTCAGGGTCCATGTGCCAAAATAGGGTCTAACTTGGGATGTTCCCCCCCTGATTTTAACAGTCCTTAATGGGGATTATAATTGGGGGGGGGGTACTACAGGGGCTGTCGGATGCAAACCCTAGACCCTAAACCCTAAAACTAGTACATGGACTCTTCTTGGCCTTCTTCCTCCCGCAGCCTTGGTGAGTTCCAGATCTTCCGTTCCAGCAACTCCTCCGCCATGGCGTTGTGGTTGCTTCTGAGCACGGGACTCGCTGCGGCGTGGGCGGAAAGCGATGTGCACCAAGCTTTCGAGCAGTACATCAAGGACCGGAGACGGGTCCGAGGCCTATGGCCCTCTGTTTTACAATTTAGGTTTTTAATAATACAATCCCAACCATGAACTAGTCTGAAGGAAGGCGGTTTAGGGAGTCCAGGGTTATGACGGTCATCGTTGGGGTTATGGAGGGTTTGGTTGGGGTTGGTTTAAGGCTCTTTGACGTTTTGGGAGTTCATATTTGAGTGGACGGGTGGAAGGTTATTTGTTTTTGCTGCTTGAGTGCTGGAAACCTTGTCCAATGAGTATTTGGTTTTTGTTTGTGGTGGGTGGGGGGGGGTGTCGTTGTGCAACCTCCGAATTCACATGCCAGGACTTCGACAAGAAGTACGCGCCTGCCGAGAGGTCGGAGCGGTTCGCCGCCTTCAAGGAAAACTTTGAGCGGCTTGGCGGCGGGTGTAGGGTTGAGGATTTAACAGGTCCACAAGCAGTTTAGAAGTAACTTCCGGTCAAAGTGCAAGAAACCTGAAACCTTGAAGCCCTGAAGCCCCAGCCCTAAACAGCCGTTTTCGCTGTGTGCGCCCTTAGGGACAGGTGCCACGAACGCAACATGAAATCACACTTAAGTTCTCTCAGTGTGGGGTTTCTGGGATTGGGCTTTACTCGTGTTCCCAAACCCCTTAAAAGATAGGGCATAACCCTAAGCCCTAAACCCCAAACCCTCAACCCTCAACCCTAAACCCTAAACCCTAATACCCTCTAGGCATCCCTGAGTCGTAAGCACCAAGCCCTAAACCTTAACCCCAAGCCCTAAACCCTAAACCCTAGACCCTAGACCTGGCACTCAGGTATATCTTGCAAGAGAACTCCAAGGGCCTCTCCTACCAGCTGGGATTGAACGACTTCTCGGACGTGAGCTCTGATGACTTCGCGAAGAGCCGCGCCTAGCCAAAAGGGTTTAGATCCTGGGATCCCTCTAGGTTCCCCCTACGGTAGTTGGTTTCGGTTTAGGGCTTAGGGCTTAGGGCTTAGGGCTTAGGGCTTAGGGCTTAGGGCTTAGGGCTTAGGGCTTAGGGCTTAGGGCTTAGGGCTTAGGGCTTAGGGCATAGGGTTTAGGGTTTGGGGTTTGGGGTTTGGGGTTTGGGTTTAGGGTTTGGGGTAGTACGTTTGGGGCTGAGGCTTTCAGGAATGCCCTGTTTTCTGAATTTGAATCCCCAATTTTGGGCATAGGTGGAAGACAGCTTCTGCGATGTACAACTGCACCTGAAGGGTTTAAGCTTTCGGCCTGAGGGCTCGGGGTTCACCAAAGCTACAACCTTCGAAGATCTGCCGCCCGGCCCGACACCCCACCCCACCCCACCCCACCCCACCCCACCCCACCCCACCCCACCCCACAGCCCCCCAACAACTACCCTTAACAGGGTACATAGGGCCCGGTGTTTGGAGTACGATACGTTAATGGTTTTTTTTGTTCTGGGTTCCCCTAAGAACCCCAAAAACCCTAAACCTTCTTGCAGGCACCGGCTTGCGGAAGCCTTTGCGCAAGGCGGCCGCGGGCCGCAGCGTGCATGTCCCCAAGCTTCCGCAACCCGGCGCAGGGTTTAGGGTTCAGGGTTTGGGGTTTAGGCTTTAGGCTTTAGGCTTTAGGCTTTAGGCTTTAGGCTTTAGGCTTTAGGGTTTAGGGTTTAGGGTTTAGGGTTTAGGGCGCAGTCGGCTTAGGGGTGCATGTACCTTTAAAGGGTTGAGGGTTTAATTCAGGTTTATGGTAATCTACTTGGGCCTTAAAGGGGTTCCTATCTTTACTTCCCTCCAAAAAGCCTCTCTTTTCTGTGCTGGGCTCCGGCTACCCTGCTACTGAGGCCCTTTCACCCCAATTAAGGACCCAAAGGGATCCACGTACCCACACAGGAGATACGGAGCACAGCCATAGGGTGAGCCTTTGACACCAACCCCTGCGTCCTAAACCTTCCGTTGTCCTTTACTACACACCTTAAACCCTGTAACCGAAACGCTAAACCCACGAATCCTGGTTGAACGCCCAAGCCGGCTCTTCCCAGATCTTCCAAGACTCGTCAATGAAGGAATATACCCTAGTTCATACTAAGGATCCTTAGTATAAATGAGGGTATAATCCTTAACTAAGGTGCTTTTTTTTTCTCCTAAATTGGGGGACAATCCTTGGTCTAAATTAGGGTTTTTCCCTTAAGGAGTTTTGGAAGATCTGGGTTCCGAGGAAGAGCTCGCTACCCAGCTCGGTCGACTGGCGCGGCCACGGCGCCGCTCGGGGCGAGAAGTTGGAGATGTCGAGCACCGAAACGGTTTAGGGTTTAGGGTGTAGGGTTTAGGATTTAGGGTTTAGGCTTTAGGGTTTAGGGTTTGGGGTTTGGGGGTTTAGAGTTTAGGGCTTAGGGTAGTTTAGATTTACGGCTTTGGCTCTAGGGCCTAGGGGCCCTGTGGCGCATCTCCCGTGCGAGGCCGTAACGCCCGTGAAGAATCAGCAGCAGTGCGGCTCCTGCTGGGCGTTCAGCGCAACCGGTTCCCTCGAAGGCCAGGGTTTACTATATTCATTGCTTAAGAACGCCCCAAACTAAAAACAGATTCTTCCTTAGAAGGGTAATATAGGGACTATTTTCTCTTAGTTTTGATGGTTCTTAAGCAAATAGTAGTTTAGGGTTAAGGGTTTAGGTGTAGTTTGGGGTTTAGAAGCGTTTTTTCTGTCTCGAAGCAGCACCCTGGCTGCCTGCGTGCTGACAGGTGCCTGGGCGATTGCGACCGGATCGCTGATCTCGCTCTCTGAGCCTCTTGGCTGCTGTGTTTGGGAGGGCTTAGGGTTTCTAGGGTGTCCAGTCTAGGGTTTAGGGGTCTAGGATGGTCTAGGTGAGTTTCCTAAGCCCTCTGAACAAGTATGGCCCGGATCCTAAGCCCTAAAACCCAAAACCCTCTAACCCCTCAACCCTAACCTTGCAAAGACCTTCGAGGCCCGCATCTCAAGGTTTCGGGCTTGTAGGGTTTCTTCGAGTTATGGGTTTAGCGTTTCTAGGGCTTCTAGGGCATGGCAGGAGATTTAGTGTTTATAGGACCAGTTGAAAACGCGGGCTGTTCTGCTTTAGGGCTGCAGGGCTGCCGCCAATGGCGCATTGGACTCTGAAACCATAACCCCTGAATCCCCAAATCCCTCAAACCCCAAGCGCTAGACCCGAACCCAAAGCCCTTTCACTCCTCCCCTGAATCCCCAGAGCCCTCAAGCCCTCAGCCTTAAACCCTTAGCTTACAAACCATCAGCCTCCCGAAACCCTAAACCCTAAACCCTAAACCCTAAACCTTAAAACCAACCAACCTACCTACACCTTAAACCCTAGCCCCCCCCATAAGCAGAGGCAGCAGCTCGTGGACTGCTCCGGAAGCTTCGGAAACGAGGGCTGCGATGGCGGCGAGCGTCTCGGCAAAGATCGTGCTTAGGGGTTCAGAGTTTAGTGTTTAGGGTTTTGGATTTGGGGTTTAGGGTTTAGTTTTTTTTTTTTTTTTTTTGGGGGGGGGGTTCTCTCAGCCTTATAAGCTCTAAACCCGGTTTACGGCTCCCTTAACCTTACAAGCTCTGATTAGGGTTTAGGGTTTAGGGCTTGTGGGGTTAGGGCTGAAGGTGCTTCTGAAAAATCCGGAAGGTCTTGGGCCTGGGGGCCCTGTTATGTTGTAGGGGGCTTCTGGCTGGGCTTTTCACCTTGGGACTCCAAGACAGCACAGAGAAGTCCCCTTTTGTGGGATCGTGGGGTTAAGGGTTTCGTATAGTTTAGGTTTTAGGATTTAGGGTTTAGGGTTTTGGCTGTAGTGTTAGGGATTTAGGGATTTATTTAGGTCATTTAGGTCTAAAGGCTACATGACATACCTTCTTACTTTGGGTTCGTCAAAGCCTCGTTTAGGGTTTGCTGGGTTTTGAAGGGGGGGGGGGGGGGGGGGGGGGGGGGGGCTGGAAGCCGCCCGACTACACCCTACAACCCCCGAGAAACCCCACACCCTAAACCCTAAACCCCGAAACCTTAAACACATATAGTAATCCTACTTGCGTGATCCCGGGAGGATGGATGATGCCTTCGAGTACGATGAGCAGACAGCACTGTGCACGGAGCAGAGACTCACCTGGAAGCTTTTTAGGGTTCAGGGTTCTGGGGGTTGGGTTTTAGCCTACACCCTAAACCCTAAACCCTACATACACCCTAAACCCTAAACCCTAAACCCGAGGTGTAGCGCTGTCCTATAAGCCCCAACCCTCAAGCCTAATTTCTTAGACTCTAGCCCTTGGTCGCAACGAGGTTGCAGGGTTGAGGATCCATAAGAATCTGTTCACCTGGGGCCTGGGTTGTTTTAGCTTCTTCAGCTTTGAAGTAGTTGCTATATGGGAGGGAGTTTACGATAATAAGAGACCCCTCACACCCAATTATAATCCCCATTAAGGACTGTGAGTATAAGGGCCAACATCCCAACCCTGTAAACCCTAAACCCTATAAACCCTAATCCCTGTAAACCCTAAACCATACAAAGCCTAACCCTTTCAACCCTAGCTTAGAACGCAAAAGAGCTCTCAACATGGGTTTGCGCATAGAACCCTAGGGGTCCATGTACCTAATATTTCTATACTTGGGCCGAAAAGTCCCTATATGGGAAGTACTTTAAGGCCCAAGTATTCCCCATTCAGGTACCTAAACCCTAAACTCTAAACCCTAAACCCTAGCCCTAAACCCTAAACCCTAAACCCTGAACCCATTGGACCCTTAGGTGAATGTGTAAGGTGCCCTGCCGAAGCCGAGGAGCTATCCTTACACGGCTGAGGATGGCAGCTGCCAGGCCGGGTTTAGGGTTTAGGGTTTAGGGTTTAGGGATTCAGGGCTTTAGGGCTTTAGGGCTTTAGGGCTTTAGGGCTTTAGGGCTTTAGGGTTTAGGGCTTAGGGTTAGGGTACAATGGAGGCGTGTGCGGGTCTTAGGTTTCTTTGGGAATTTAGGTTTCGGGCTTTAAGTGCCTTAAGTAATGGCAAACGCTTGAAACTATGAAGTTCTTCCCATAGTCCAAGTCTACCACCACTCAGAAAAGCGCACAACCATGCGCCCGAACTTAAAGAATGTGCGCTGTCGTGGTTGGCTCGGCTATGTTTAGGGTCGTCTTTGAGCATGGCATTCCTGTGCTAACCTCTGAGCTTACGATGGATGGATGGGGCCTTCAATGGATCAAAGGAGCTTTAGGCAGCACCAGAGAGCTTCGCCAGGGCCCATTCACGGTGGGTTTGCGAGGCGTTCCTGTAAAGACTTATGTTGGGTTGTGCTTGCTTCCAATGTAGACCCTGAACCCGAAGCACTTGCTAAACCCTAAACCCTAAACCCTAAACCCTCAACCCTCAACCCTCAACCCTAAACCCTGAACCCTAAACCCTAAACCGTAAACCCTAAACCCTACACTTGCTTACATGGACCCTTAAGGCTTCTGCACGACAGGCCAGCAGCTGCTCCGTGGGGATTCCAGCTCACAGCGTGACGAGCTTCGTGGACAGGGGGCCTCGGGGTTCGGGTTTAGAGTTTAGGGTTTAGGGTTAGAAGGGTGTGGGGTTTAGGGTTTAGGGTTGGTTTGGGGCGGTTGTTTTTTTTTCTTTTTGGTGGGGGGGGGGGGGGGGGGGTGGGGTGGTCGGGGGTTTTAGGGGCTTTAGGGTTTAGGAACTTAGGGGTGTGAGTGGTTTAGGAACTTAGGGGTTTAGGTGCTGAACCCTCATATAAATACTGGAAATAGAGAGCCAAACCCTAAACCCTAACCCCTAAACCCTGAAGACCTTGCTACGAACAGGACGTGCCCACTGACAACGAAGAGGCTCTCATGGATGCCGTGGCCCAGCAGCCGGCTTCCTGGCTGCCTTGGGGAATGCCTAAGGCTGGGGGTGTAGGGTTTAGGGTTTAGGTTTAGGGTTTAGGGTTTAGGGTTTAGGGTTTAGGGTTTAGGGTTCAGGGTTCAGGGTTTAGGGTTTAGGGTTTAGGGTTTAGGGTTTAGGGTTTGGGCAGGGTAGACTCTAGTATACCCAAAACCCAACCCCTAAACCCCCAAATCCGAAACCCCTGAACCCCCAAACCCAAAGCCACCACTATCCTCTGCAGCCGACAAAAGGCCCTAAAGCCCCGAGCCAGCATCGAATCACTCCCCTCCCCTACGGTCACATACCTTGTCACATGTTCTCAATTACAGAATGGTCTAGGGTTTAGAGGTTTAGGGTGTTAGGGTTTAAAGGTTTAGGATTTAGGGAGAGAATGTGGAGATTGTGTGGGAGTTTCGCCTTAAGGCCCCGCTCAAAGCAAACGCTCTCAGACGTCCAAGGTGTCGGTGGCCATCGAGGCAGACACTTGGCTTTCTTCGGGTTTAGGGTTTAGGGTTTGGGGTTTATAAGGTTTAGGGTTCTAACCTCTTGGGTTTTTGTAGCAACTACAATAAGGAGCCTCAACGTTAATCTTTTGGGAGGGCTTCAGAAGTCAGCCAAGGACAAGCGTGCCTTCCAGAACTACAAGAGCGGAGTGCTCAGCAAGATCTGTGGCACCAAGCTCCTCGGCAGCATCAACTTCTTCCCTAATAAACATGTAAATCTTGGTAGCCCGGTGGTGCCTTTGTTTTCTCCATTTCGTTGTTTCAATGCTCCCTTACAAAGTAACCAACCCCACCCCCCAACAAATCACCTTCTTGGAAGATGGTTACTGGGCCACCAAGACATGCTGAATAAGTTCCTGTCTAGAATACATAAGTCATACATCAGAGAGCATTGATGTGCATGGGCAAGCCCCGACCACCCCCAAACCCTAAACCTTTCAGCCAGTAAACCCTACGCCTAGAACTCAAAGCCTTAAACCCTAAACCCTAAACCCTAACTCCTTCCAAGGCTGGACCACGGCGTCCTGGTGGTTGGGTACGGCAGCGAGTGGGGCAAGGATTACTGGCTCGTGAAGCCGCTTTGACCTTCCAACCCCTACCAACCGGTTTAGGGTTTAGGGTTTAGGCCCTCAAGCCATACGCCTAACCTGAAGGCCTCAAACCCATGCACCTCCATCGTACACACTTGGCTTAAAGTCAAAAAGCACCCTAACCCCTAAGCTCCTGAAGCCATCAAACACCCCCCCGTAAGGTAACCCTGCCCTACGCCCTAAACGCCAAAGCCTAAACCCTTATCACTTGATGGAATCCCCAATGCCTCTTCCTAAGGAACAGCTGGGGCGCCTTCTGGGGCGAAGATGGCTACGTGAAGCTGGAGCGCGGCCGAAGGGTTTAGGAATAGGGGTTTAGGCTATGGGGTCAATGGACTAAGACTCGTACCCCTAAGGTTGTGCCCCTACAGGTTCCCCTTAACATACTCCAAATATGAGCCTTAGACTACCTTACTACCTCAAGGATCTTTTAAAAGGGTAAAGCCCTCAGGGTCCAAGGTACAACCCTAGACAGGGGCTTAGGCGAAGACATCTAAGCAGCCGGCAGCTCCCGAATACACTTTAGTGGGATACACCTGCCCCCAAGCGCCCTTACACCTAAACAGGGAATGTTTGGGGTTTAGGTTTTAGGGTTTAGGGTTTGGGTCTGAAAGTATAGTAATGTGGTACATGGACCCTTAGGGGGCTAATAGGGATTATCGTACTCATCGTACCCCCCGCTATAGTCCCTACTAAGGACTGTTAGTGAAGGGGGGGAACATCCCGAGATACACCTGCTACACGACTAAGAGCGACTCAGCCCCCCAATCTAAGATTTAGGGTTTAGGGTTTAGGGTTTAGGGTTTAGGGTTTAGGGTTTAGGGTTTAGGGTTTAGGGTTTAGGGTTTAGGGTTCATTGTTGTTGCAAGCCCAAGTCCGAAACCCTGGAACCCCCAAGGTACGATTACGTTGACAGGTGAGCGATGCACCCTACACCCTAAACCCCAAACCCTAAACCCTAAACCCTCACCCCGAGGCCCACTGTCCCTAAACCCAAAGCCCCAAACCCTAAACCCCAAACCCCAAACCCTAAACCCTGAACCCTAACCCTAAACCCTAAACCCCAAACCCTAAACCCTGAACCCTAAACCCTAAACCCTGATCCCCTAATTTGAAGCCAGGAGCGCGGCAAGCCCGGAGCAGGGGAGTGCGGCATCAAGTCCGAGGCATGCTCTGGGTTTAGGGTTTAGGGTTTAGGGTTGAGGGTCTTTAGGGTCTTTAGGGTCTTTAGGGTCTTTAGGGTTCATGGTTTAGGGGTTTAGGGGTTTAGGGGTTTAAGGGTTTAGGGGTTTAGGGGTTAGCAGGGGTTAGCAGGGGTTAGCAGGGGTTAGCAGGGGTTTAGGGTTTAGGGTTTGAGGATTTGGGGCTTTCTTTCGCTTTGTAGGGGTGTTGGGCTTTGGCTGAGGGGCTTTGGGGCATTCAAGGGTTTGGGAGTTTAGGATCCTAAGCCCTAAACCCTAAAGCTTAAATAGTTTCGGAGCTTGTTGTTTGCGATTAAGGACATCTTGACCCCTGAGCGCGTAAACCCGAAAACCCAGGCCTAGTCCTTTCAAAGAGCACCAACCCTCAGCCCTAAACCCTCAGCCCTAAACCCTCAACCCTCAACCCTAAACCCTAAACCCTAAACCCTAAACCCTAAGCCCGAAACGCCAGGCCTCCTACCCTGTCGTGTCTGCCTCGCCCTCCCCATCGCCCCCGTCTCCGTCTCCGCCGACACTCGGCTCAGGGAGCTTTAAGGCTTTCAGGGGGAGTTTAGGGTTTAGGGTTTAGGGTTTCGGGTTTAGGGTTTAGGGTTTAGGGCCTAGGGTTTAGGGTTTAGGGTTTAGAGTTTAGAGTTTAGGGTTTAGTTACAGGTGTTTGGGGTTTATGGTTACAGGGGTTTAGGGTTCAGGCTGCAGGGATTTAGGGTTCATAGGGTGTATAAGGTTGGGGTTTGTAGGGTTCCTGTCAGGCTTAATTTTGCACCCCCCCCTTGCTGCCCAGCCTGAATTCAAGCTTCGGGTTTACACAGGGTTAAGGCCCTGCCGCAAATGTCCGTGTACCTAGATAGGGAATACTTGGGCCTTAAAGCACCTCGCATATAGGGACTTTTGGGCCCGAAACCCTAAATAAACCCTAAACCCGAAACCCTACACCCATGTATGAATACTATGGTGCATGGACCCTTGGGCCCAAGCCGAGATGTAGCTGTAGAGCTTCGAAACCCTAAACCCTCAACCCTCAACCCTCAACCCTCAACCCTCATCCCCAAGCCCAGATCGTTTATAAGTCCTGGATGCCAGAACTAAAAACCCGCCCTAAGCCTGTGGCTCCAAGTATGTGGACAACAGTCGGTTTAGGGTTGAGGGTTTTCGGGCGCCTACTTTGGGGGGTCCAAAGTCTACAAATGATGCCTATACTTTTCGCCCCTATGGAGCCTTATCTACCCGAATCTACCCCGGAAAAACACAAACATGCTTCCTTATTCAGGGTAATGTAGCGAGTTTTATTTTACTTGTTTTACTCTGCTGGGGTTCTCAAACCCTAAACCCTAAACCCTAAACCCTAAACCCTAAATAGGGCAAGCCCAGTGCCAAGGGCGCCCAGCGCTGGGCACTACGGACGCCCTCCGTGCCGCAGTGACGAGTCGTCGTTCGAGGTGCCTGGGTTTAGGGTTTAGGGTTTAGGGTTTAGGGTTTAGGGTTAGGGTTTAGGGTTTAGGGTTTAGGGTTTAGGCTTGAGGGTTGAGGGTTGAGGGTCGAGGGTCGAGGGTTGAGGGTTGAGGGTTTAGGTTTACCATATTCCCAGATCTTCCAAAACCCCTAAATTTAGGAATCTACTCTACTTCATAAGGATGATCCTTAGTTAGCTTCTATACCTGAATTAAGGGGTTTTGGAAGGTCTGGGTTCGGGGTAGCTTCTTGGGGTCCTTATTATTAAGGGAATCCTACTATTTGGGGGTCTATTTTAGGGGTGCCCTATGTTCGTAAACCCCCGTGCGGGTATTTCCCCAAATAGGGAACCACCTATGATACCCCAAATAAAAGAACCCTTACTCTCGGAACCCACCCTTTAAAAGCCCCTGTTTCGGAAACCCCCATAGTAGCGTTAGGGTTCCGGGCTGACGGTCTCTCTAAGGTAGCTCCATATGGTCCTTTACCTTCTTTCAAGGGTTCTGAAGTATTTTTCGGGCCCATGCTGCCCTAAACCCAAAACCCTAAACCCTCAACCATGATTAGATCCATGGGCTTCCAGGTCCCCGAGTCCCGAAGTTTCTTTAAAACCCCAGGCCGATACTGTGGGATACCCTAAACCCTTAACCCCTAAACCCATTCCCCCCAATCTTTTCTTCAGGGTTTAGGGGTTTCTGGCTTAGAGTTCAATAGTTAAGGTCCCCTCTTTGAAGGTCTGTGAAGGGTGAAAGCTTACTCTAGGTGTGGTTCCGCCTGGATCATCGTGTCGGTTTGCTAGGTTACTCTTAAGGTGGCTTGAAGGCCTTCCTCCTGAGACTTCTTGCCGGCTCTGATTTAGGGCTTAGGGTTTAGGGTTTAGGGTTTAGGAGGACCTCTTTGGCGCACCCATACAGCGCATGGTGACTAAATGTACCTGCGCAACTGCTCGGCACACCTACCTGTTTTGTTTCAGCGGGTGCAGGGTTGCTCTCAGCAGGCTAGGTAGGCCCTTTGGAACATGTTGTATTTTCCCTTATTGGGTTTAAGAGGATCACATCACCCTAAACCCTAAACCCTAAACCCTAAACCCTAAACCCTAAACCGCGCTAAGGGCCATGCTAAGGAGGCTTTCTGCAGCACTTTGACTCTGCCAGGTGGTCGGCAAGGGCACCGTCTGCACCCCGAGCTGCCTTGACGGCTGCCCGACAGACGTGCCAGAGGGCGCCACCGCGTTCCCCAGCTGCGCATGGCTGCCATTCCCTAAGGCTCCAAATAGCCCAAAGTAGGTACTTTTTGCAGACTTTAGACCCCAATGTAGGTGTTATTTATATACTTGGAGCCCTAGGGATTTGCTGCAGAATCAAAACCCCCCAAAGAAGAAGCAGATTCTTCCTTATAAGGGCAATATAGGGATTGTGAGTTTTTTTTTGAGGGGGTTCTTATAAGCAAATAGTAGGTTAGGACCCAAGTATGCGTGTAGGTGCATGGAGGGCAGAAGAAGGTTGCAGGTTGAGGGTTGAACCCCTATATGCAAAGAACCACGCCCCTCAGCTAGCCATTTGTTGTTCATTGCAGGGGTAGGCCCTCGGGACATTTTGCATTCTGTTGAGCTTCGGAGTGTTTAAGAGGATCATGTTTTCAGAGGGCCAAGCTAGACTTACTACCCCAGAAACACGAGTCTCAACCTGTTTCGGCCAAGAAAGCGGATGCTTAAGGTTCTAAGTTGCTCCTACTATTGCCCACTCTTCCCGGTAGTTGGGGCATCTAGGTAACCCTTACTAGAGTCTTGCTAGTTCTCAATGTCCCTTAGCTCGCTTCTAGGCGATCGAAACCTCACAACGCAAAACCCTAGCCTAGCTTGAGACCTACCTGGTCAACCTTGAACTTGACACCCCCAACTCAGGCGGCCTGGCTGCGTGGACGGGGACTACTGCGCCCTCCGCTGCGTCCTGGGAGGTTGCCCTCCTGGCGCCAAGTGCATCCACAATTCTGGACTGCAGCTTGCCTGAGTGGTATCCCTGGGTTTTGGAGTACTATACTGGGTTGAGGGTTTGGGGTTTAGGGTTTAGGGTGTAGGGTTTAGGGTTACATTAATAATAATTTTAATACTTCAATACTTTCCTTGGTTCTGGGTTCCTATTATAGCTACGTATACCTCAAAAGTATATACTTGTCCTCCCGGGTCTACTCCAACGTAGGGATCCCTGAGCCCTAGAACTCTAGAGCCCTACAAGACCGAACGTGTCTATACCCTGAACCCTGATACCCTAAACCCTAAACCCTAAACCCTAAACCCTAAACCCTAAACCCTAAACTGTAAATCCTAAACCCTAAACCCTAAACCCTAAACTGTAAATCCTAAACCCTCAACCCTATCTCTGGGGGTGTTCAACACTCACGGGTGCGTTCGCGCGTTAGCTACGAGAGTTTTGACACCTCCTCAGACCAACTTTGTGTGCGCACCAAAGCTCTGCAAAGTATCGGCATGTTTTGCCTAAAGGGTCTCAACCTAAGGGTTTAGGGTTTAGGGTTTAGGGCTTATGTCTCAAATGTCTGCAGCAGAGGTCGTTCAGCTACATCCAACTCCATGCACATAGCTATACCGCGAAAAAGAACACTCGTCAAACTTCCCCCGAAACCCTAAAACCCTGAAGCCGCAAAGGGTTTAGGGTTTAGGGTTTAGGGTTTAGGGTTTAGGGTTTAGGGTTTAGGGTTTAGGGTTTAGGGTTTAGGGTTTAGACACCAATCTCGCTGCCGAGGCTCGGTATGTGCGTCTACCCTGACGAGGCGATTGTGGTCTAAGAGCCACGGCCACACCCGGAACGCCGACAGTTTAGAGTTTAGGGTTTAGGGTTTAGGGTTTAGGGTTTAGGGTTTAGGGTTTAGGGGTTTTGGGTTTAGGGTTTAGGGTTTAGGGTTTAGGGTTTAGGGTTTAGGGTTTAGGGTTTAGGGTTTAGGGTGTCTCGCAGGGAAGCCATGCAGCGCTGTTTGAGCCTGCCAGTTCCCAGTGGAGAAAAGGAAATGCTCGGAGGCCCTCTAAACCCCAAGCCCCAAACCCTAAACCCTAAACCCCATACGCTAAACCCCACGCCCTAAACCCCAAACCCTAAGACCCTCACCCTAAGCTCTAAACCCTCAAACCCTTAAACCCTTGCTCCCTTATTGCAGGCTTCGGATCCCTTGTAAAGCCAGCTAAAGCACAACGAGCCTTGTCTAGGGTTCAGGGTTTAGAGTTCTGGCTTAGAGTTTAGACTTTAGGGTTTAGAGCCTTTAGGGCGTTTAGGGTGTTTTCCGAGCGTTGAGGGCTCAGAGTCTAAGGGCACGGGGGCGTTACGGGGCCTACGAGTGCAGGCTTTTTGACTCGGTTTATCTAACTGCTTCAATCTCTGTTTCGGGGTTTAGAGTGCATGGCTTCGAGGTTTAGGGTTTAGGGTTTAGGGTTTAGGGTTTCGGGTTTAGGGTTTAGGGTTTAGGGTCTCTGTTTCGGTAGGGGTCGTAGCTGCATGGGAGGACGAGAGTTCCTCAAGAAGGTACTTGTGGCCGATATGAAGGCAGGGTTTATATTACTGTTTTTGGTGAGTGTAATATAAGGTTCCTTTTTTAATTTTGGTGAGTGTATATACCTGGTGTCTTTTTTTGGGTTCAAGAAATATATACCCTACTTCATATACCCGTCTAAACCCCAAACCGTAATGCTCTGACTTCCTCGTTCCTGGAACCTATCAAGTTTCGACACATGTTAGCACCGGGAGGGGCGCGGATACAGTAGACAACGCCATCCCAAGCTCAACTGACCAAACTGACCTTCACAGCACACCTTCCTAAATCAAACTTTGGGCTTCCCCAAAATGGCTTCCCCTAGCCTGCTGTTTCTTCGTAGGGAGTTAAGGACTTCGGTCCCCTACGGCAGGGGTCTCGTGTGGGATTTTGTTTAGGGATACATATGAAGTTTCTTCCGAGATTCCTTCTTGAAACTACCCTAAACCCTAAACCCTAAACCCTAAACCCTAAACCCTAAACCCTAAACCCTAAACCCTAAACCGTGGAAATCCCAGGCTGGGGCCAGCAGCTTTGGCTCCGGTGTAGCCTCGCCACTGTGGAAGGCTTCAACTATGGGCTGCCTGCCAGGGTTTGGAGGTTTAGGGGTTTAGGGGTTTCGAGTTTAGGGTTTAGGGTTTAGGGTTTAGGGTTTAGGGTTTTGGAAGTTTAAGGGTTTGAGGTTTAGGTTGAGATCTCGGAGTCCGTGATTTTCGGCATGCAGCCTATGTACATGACATTGCGTCTTGTCGCGCGCGTGCCATCGTCGTCGAATGTTCTGTAAGCGTCTCAGAGTCTTTCCCCATAGACCTGACTCATTGCTAACCCCTACACCCTGAACCCCAATTTACATGTGTTTTGGAAGGATGCCGTTACGGGGTTTGGTTTTTAGCAAACCCTCATGTGTAATGAATGAAACTGCCAACCTTAAACGTGTCTTCATCCCTTCCCCCTACTATTGACCGCCGGACTTGGCATGTTCAGGATACCCAAAAAACTGATGCCTGCAAGCCCTGTACCCTTAACCCCTATACAACCCTAAACCTTAACCCTACACCCTAGACCATGGACCCTAGACCCTAGACCCAGGCCCAATACTTGCATGTTTTTGAAGGGGCTGTGGGGGGAAACATTGGCTATGATTAGAGGGGGCGCTTACAATCGTCTGAAGGGCGTAAAGTTAGGGTGTATAGGGTAAAGGGTCTAGACGGGGGAGGGAGGAGGGTCGCGAATGCTGGCGCATGTAGAGGTCTGTGTAAGCCTTTTCGGGGGGGTGGAAGTATCTGTTTGGGGTATTCTGGATTGGTCCTTCAAGTTGGTGTTCAGTTTGAGGGTTTATGGTAGTGCTTGTGCATTCTCGGGTGCTTAGGGTCTAGGGGCTTAGCCCCTAAACCCGGAAGCCCTAAACCTTAAACCTTAAACCCTAAACCCTAAGCCCTAAGCCCTAAACCCTAAACCCTTTGGGAGGACTTGCGGTCCCGGCCGCGGCCCCGACCTCCGTGCTGCTGCGCGACGCGCCGGGATGCCCGGGCGACCTTCCTTGTGGGGGTTTCGGGTTTAGGGTTTAGGGACGGATCCTTAGCATAAACTCGGCGATTTTTCTCAATTAAGGGGTTTTGGAAGATCTGGGTTCCTTGTGGTTTTAGGGTTGCGGCTCAGGGTTCAGGTTTTGGGGTGCATCGGGTTTCTATGGGGTTTAGGCTTCCTTGTGGTTTAGGGGTTGGGGGTGTGCAGTTCGGGGCTGAGGGTTTTAGGGTTTATAGGTTTTATATGGGGTTGAAGGTGTCGGGTTTTGTGCATATAGAGGCATTCAGGAGCATGGATGATTTCGATCCGTACGACCCGTTGCCTGGGTGCAGTCCTGGCAGACAATGGCCTTGATCCACGCCTAGGATCACTTCGACGGCTGGGCGGCACCCTAAACCCTAAACCCCAAACCCCAAACCCCAAACCCCAAACCCCAAACCCCAAACCCCAAACCCCAAACCCTAAACCCTAAACCCTAAACCCTAAACCCCAAACCCCAAACCCCATACCCTAACCCATACCCTAATCCCTAATCCCTAAACCCTTTAGGGTTTAGGGTTTAGGCTACCAGGAAGCTGAAGCCAAAGGGGTTGATTTGTCTTCGCCAAGCCCAGACGAAGGCCAAACACGTTTCCAAGATCCGCCTTCAGGGGCTTTAGGGGCTTCAGGGGTTAGGGGTTAAGGGTTAGGGTTTGGGGTTTAGGGTTTAGGGTTTAGGGGCTTGAGGGGTTTTGGGGGCTTTAGGTTTTTTTTTTTTTTTTTTTTCCCCGGGGTTTTGGGGTTTTAGGGGCTTTAGGGGCTTTAGGGGCTTTAGGGGCTTTAGGGGCTTTAGGGGTTTTAGAGGAATTTTTGGGGGATTTAAGTCAACACGCCCCTAAATGAAGACCCTGAGCCCTAAACCTGAAACCACTCTAAGCCCTAAGCCCGAAGCCGTAAGACCTAAACCCCGCGGTAGACGCGCAGTTGCCCGGGTAGCTCCATGTGTCCCGCGAATCTGCGAAATGAATGCTCTGCAGTTTGAACCCAGTTTGTTTAGGGTTTAGGGTTTAGGGTTTAGGGCTAAGGGGGTCAGGGTGTAGGAATGGTGGTTCAGGGCTATATCAGGGTGGGTCCCAGGGTGGTCCCCCGTCCCCTGCTTGAGGGATGAGTCTCCCTTACAAATCCCTGTGAACAGAAAGATGCTCTTTTGCAATCTCATCTTCCTGCCGGATCTTAGCGTTTAGGGTTTAGGGTTTAGGGTTAGGGTTTAGGGTTTAGGGTTTAGGGTTTAGGGTTTAGGGTTTAGGGTTTAGGGTTTAGGGTTTAGGGTTTAGGGTTTAGGGTTTAGGGCATAGGGCAGAACGGCTGCCTTTCAGGTCCCGCACGGCCTTCACGGCTGAGTATGTGCTCGGCTCCATGATCGGGGACTGCCGTTGTGCTGGGAGCTCGGTGGCTCTCCTTGTCCAGGAGCCAGCCTGGGGTGCCGCTGCGCAGGGTTCAGGGTTCAGGGTTCAGGGTTCAGGGTTCAGGGTTCAGGGTTCAGGGTTCAGGGTTCAGGGTTCAGGGTTCAGGGTTCAGGGTTCAGGGTTCAGGGTTCAGGGTTCAGGGTTTAGGGTTTAGGGTTTAGGGTTTAGGGTTTAGGGTTTAGGGTTTAGTTCAGGGCTTAGTTTAGGGTTTAGGGTTTAGGGTTTTAACGAGCCCGATTTCTTTTGGCAGGCCGCAATGATCTTGAATTCCTGCGCCTATTCTCAACCCTACCTTAAGAACCCAAAACCTACTCTTTTGTAGGTTTCCAAAAGAGTCCTGTAAGGGGATGTCTACTAAGAACCTACAAAAAAGTGGGCTTCCGTTTTTAAGGTAGACCCTACATACCCCTAAACCCCTAGTCCCCGAACCACGACCTGGGTAGGGTTTAGGGTTTAGGGTTTAGGGTTTAGGGTTTAGGGTTTAGGGTTTAGGGTTTAGGGTTTAGGGTTTAGGGTTTAGGGTTTAGGGTTTAGGGTTTAGGGTTTCGAGTAGAGATGTCGGACCCAAGAGTCCCGAGCCTCAAGCAGGGCACCACGGGACCAAGTAATGCTTCAACCCCTTCGACCCAAACGCCCTAAACCCCAAACACCCCAAGCCATATACCCTAAACCCCAAACCCTAAACCCTAAACCCTAAATCCTAAACCCTAAACCCTAAACCTTAAACCCTAACCCTAAATCCCCTAAAGCCCCCTCGAACCCCTAAAGCCCCTAAAACTCTACGGCCCTTTTGCTGAGGCGCGGCCTCATCTCCAGCTTCGAGCCGTGCTCGGAAGCGAGTGGGCCCGGAGCTTATGCACATCCATTGTCGGGTTTAGGGTTTAGGGTTTAGGACTTAGGACTTAGGACTTAGGGTTAGTGGGTAGGGCTTGGTTGTAGGGTTTAGGGATTAGGGATAAGGGTTTAGGGTTCAGAGCTTTTGGTTCGGAGGGTAGGGTCCTAGAGGATTCGGATGTGGAGTTCGGAGGTTTCGGGTTTAGTGTCTCGAGGTTTAGAGTTGAAAAATTAGGCTTTAGATTGTAGAGGAACCTGAGAGCCCTAAACCCTAAACCCTAAGCCCCAAACCCTAAACCCTAAACCCCAAACCGGTTGCAAGGAAACGAGGCCCGGAAGTGTTGCTCATTTCCTTCTCGGGCGACTAAGGGGGCCAGCCCTAACCATCTTACCAGCCCTGACCCTAAACCCTAAACCCTAAATACACCTAAGCCCTAAACCCTAAATACACCTAAGCCCTAAGTCCGTAAGTCCCTAAAACCACCTAAGCCCTCAGCCCTAAGTTCCTAAGTCCCGAAGGCCTACGTCCCTAAAGCCCCTAAACCACGGCAAGGTGAAAGGTCGAAAAGGTACTGGCCCCCTCGCTGTGTTGGTCCCGCCACTTGCTCGGTGACGCAGGGAAGCTTCGGACACATAAGCCTTTCTACTAGGACCGGGAGTAGGGCCCTTTTTTCCTTTGTTTAGGGTTGGGGTTCCCTTACAATCCCCTTAAAACCAAAAAGGGTACCCTTTTTATTCCTAGCGTACGTACTCCCGGGTCTAGCTTACCATTCTTGAGCCTCGGTGGGCACTCCTCCCCACCGTCCCTGACATTGAGGTGTACTCTAAGCACTGGGATAACGTGTGGACAGCTGCAGTGAAAGCCACGAGGGATGTCGCCGGAGTTGTTCGTGCAATTTACGATTCCCTGGGCCAACTGGGTGCGCACAGAGCCGCAAGTGGACGAAGCCCTTGTCTTGGTCTTGGATTCCGGGGGAGGAAGCCACATCCACCTGTCCCCTACCTTCACCATGGCTTGCGTGGCGAAGAATATTCGTCCACTCTTTCTCCCACCGTATACTACGAACGCGGTGTGCCCAGCAGACCAAGACCCGAGTGCTGAGGCAGAGCTTCGGTGGGAAGCTCTGCGCCCAAAGTGTAGCTTCATGAAGTCTGGGACGCGTCAGGGCTAAAGTCCCTAAGTCCCTAAGCCCTAAACACTAAGCCCTCGGCCCTAAGACCTGAATACCCCTAAGTCCCTAAGTCCCTAAGTCCCCAAGTCTCTGGGGCCCCCTAAACCTGAAACCCTAAACCCTAAGTCCCTAAATGCCCCTATGCCCTAAGCCCGAAGCCCTAAACCCTAAGTCCCTAAGCCCTCAACTCTAAGCCCTCTGGGCCAGGTGAGCTACGACGGCGACTGTGCAGACATGTCGCTGAGAGCACCTGCCTGAGCGTTCGCATATCGCTGGGTTTAGGGTATAGGGTCTTAGAGGGTCTTAGGGTTTAAGGTATAGGGTTTAGGGTCCTAGGGTCTTCGGTCTTAGGGCCTGAGGGTCTCAGGGCCTTAGATTACAAGCCCTGGGCTCAGGAAAGCCCTGAACAAGCACCTTGTGGGCCCCAAAACGCATGCGCTTCAGCCCTGAACCTTAAACCCTAAACCCTAAACCCTAAACCCTAAACCCTAAACCCTAAACCCTAAACCCTAAACCCTAAACCCTAAACCCTAAACCCTAAACCCGCCTAAAACGTGGTAAGGTGTAAAGCTTAGGGCAGGGCATGATTGACTTTCGTATTTCCTGCATGGCGGCTGGTTACTGTTGGGTCCCGAGAACATGAGGTTTGCAGTAGATGGCCATTTCTCAACATGATGGTCCCTTGTTAGGTACCCTAAATAAGAGGGGCCGCCTTCTAACCCTAAACCCTAAACCCTAAACCCTAAACCGCCCTAAACCCTAAACCCTAAACCCTAAACCCTAAACCCTAACATGTCGCTGAATTATACGGGCCCTAAATCCAAACCCAGAAGCCCAAAGTGACATGTCCGCTCAGTCCTGTGAAGTGGCGAACCTAATTCCGGACACGACCTACCAGGCAGATGGGGTTCAGGGTTTGGTGCTCGTCTTTCGGCACACCCTAAACCCTAAACCCTAAACCCTAAGCCCTAAACCCTAAACCCTAAACCCTAAACCCTAAACCAGCCCTTCTTTCACCACGCTCATTTACAACCCTAAACCCTAAACCCCAAAGCCCTAAACCCTACCGAAGCCCCAAACCCCAAACCCTAAACCCTAAACCCCAAACCCCAAACCCTAAACCCTAAACCCCAAACCCTAAACCCTAAACCCTAAGTCTGCAACCTTGAAAAAACCAGGACCCTATCACTCTCCAGGCCTTGCCATCTCGATTCCACCAACCCCTCCCTTCCCCCCTCCCCCACCCCCCGGCCGCTCTCAAATGCCGCTGGGCCTGGAGGTCCTTTCTAATCCACAAGGGTTTAGGGTTTGGGGTTTAGGGTTTAGGGTTTAGGGTTCAGGGTTTAGGGTTTAGGGCTAGGGGTAGCCCAGTGGTACCCTTTGCCCAAGTGTTTGGTTCTGTGTTCCCTTCGTAAAGTCACCAACCCAGCAAAGGGTGCCCGACTATGATATGGTGGCTGGGCTACCAAGGTTCTTTAGGGTTTAGGGTTTAGGGTTTAGGGTTTAGGGTTTAGGGTTTAGGGTTTAGGGTTTAGGGGTATGGCCCCCATTGGGATATATATATATATATATACTGATTAGAACTTGGGCAGACAGTTCAGTTGGTATTCCCCGCTAACTCCTAAACTGTACACCCGCCTTATCTTTGAAGACGACGCCAAGCTGTCTGTAGTGGGCGACAACATCCTGCCGCGCCTGAGTAGCCTCTGCAAGCCCACGGACATGTGCTTCATTGGCTACTTCAGCAAGGGCCCTGGCCACAACTTCCCACCCTGGTGCGGAACGCAAGCATGGTCCGTTTCCCGCTCCTTCATTCCGAGCCTGATAGGCCAGATGGCAGAGTGCAAGGCCTGCGACATCGACATGTTTCTGTTTTTCAAGGCACGTGGTGACAACATCTGTGCTTTGAACAGGAGCGTCGTTGCTTGGTTGGACTTCGGTTTACCTTTAGCCGTAAACCCTAAAGCCCTAAAGCCCTAAACCCTAAACCCTAAGCCCCACGGCTAAACCCCAAACCCTTAACCCTAAAACCCAAAGCCCTGAGCCCTAAACCCCATGTGCCTGCGCAGCAGGCACGCATTCAGGTGACATGCCGGGCGACCCGGAGGGGTGGCCGCTGTAGGGTTCTTTAGGGTTCAGGATTTGATGGGGACTAGGGTTCAGGGCTTTCGGGTTTAATTCTTAGGGTTTAGGGATGTTTAGGGTTTAGGGTTTGGGTTTAGGGTTTAGGGTTTAGGGTTTAGGGTTTCATGGGCCCTTAATATGTTCCCTTGAATCCCTTAAAGGGTTCTGATGTATGGGCCCTTAATTTGTATCGTGTATATAATCACGGGCCCTGAAGCCCAAAGAAAGCCAAAGGCTACGAACCCCTAACCCCTAGACGCACCCGAAGAAAGCTGACAGAGACCTCCCAACCCCAAACCCTAAGCCCTAGAGAAAGCCAACAAGACCGCAAATGTTCTCCCCTGACCCTGGCAAAAAAGCTAGGAAATCCTAGGGTTTTGGGTTCGGCTTCGGGTTTGGAGTTTAGGGTTTAGGGTTTAGGGCTAGGGTTTCGGGTTTCGGGTTTAGGGCTAGGGTTTAGGGTTCAGGGGTTCGAGCCCAGGCGAGAACTCCTCCCTGGATAGCTCTTTCACCTACAGCTCGGTGCCGACCTCGGGGGGTTTTTGGGCGCGGAGATGTGTATGTGTGCAACTCTCTACATGGGGGTTTAGGGTTTAGGGTTTAGGGTTTAGGGTTTAGGGTTTAGGGTTTAGGGTTTAGGGTGATAGGGTTGAGGGTGATGGGGGATAGGGTTTAGGGTGTATCCTGGGTACGAGAAGAGGGGGCCCTTAGCAGGGAACCCCTTCTTAACCCTCTTCTTCTAGGGGTTCTACCTTGGACCCTTAAGGTTGTACCCTTGGGTTTTGGGGCCCCTTTTTAAGGATCCTTAAGGGAATATGAGGGCCATATTAGGAGTATATTAGGGGGAACCTTTAGGGGTACAACCTTAAGGGTACGAGTCTGAATCCCTTGACTTCTGGCTCTCTTCAACAGGGACCTCATTCAGAGGGTCTACATCCCCCAAAATTCCCCTATGTCTGCAGTTCTCCAAATGGGGGGTTTCCGAAGATTGGGGGTACCCTTTTGGGGGGTCGGAATAATTTCTAGTAGTATTCCCTTAGGGTCTCTTTTAAAATTCTACTGGAATAATCCCCAAACCCTGTTCTAATTATTGCGGCCCCTCTAGTACCCTTTTTCGGGGTCCCTTTAAGGGGATTCTATCCTATTTGCTGTATGAAAGGGGTACCCCAATTTTGGGAAGTCCCCCAAAATTAGGGTCCCCTTTCAGGGGTCCTTTTGCGTTTGCATATATGTTTCTCTTCCGGGGCTTTTTTACGGGCTTTCGGGTTAGGGTTTAGGACATAGGGTTGGGCCGTGTGGTTTTGTGTAGGGTTGTAGAGCATTTAGTTTTTTAGTCCGTTTAATGGTCTGGGGTTGAAGATTCCGCAGACTGGCTCTCTCCGCATGCTTAGTTCGCTCAGTTGGGCTTCCCCCTCTCCGGATCTCTGTCATGTATGGCCCCCTGCTGTTTTGGCACACTCTTCTCTCCATGAGCATCCACACCCGAAAGGCCCTCAGCCCTACTCAGGGCAACCACTCGCCTTTACAGTAAGTATGACGATAGGGCAAGCATGTCCAGCAATGAAGGTCCCAGGCTACTTTGGGGCATGTAGGACAACACCCCGGTTGAGGGCACAATCGCAAACCCTGAGCCCGCAGCCCCACAAACTCGAAACTGATGGCCTAGGGGATTTTGAATCGCTGTACCTGTGACTCCCAGGCTCCACCAAATATAGGGCAGACCCACAAGATTAGTAGGTAGATGGAATCCCAGTAGGGTTTGCGTGTCAAGGGCGGCACATGTGCCGAGGCCACTGAGTTTGCGACGAGACCAGGCAATCCCTGTGTGGTCTGAACCACTGCCCATGTACCTCAGTGTACACGCTAGGGTTTGCTTGAGGCCTTGAGGGTTTGTGGTTCAGGCCCCCGAACCACAACATAATCGCTAGAATGTAGCCACAAGTAAAACATGATTCGTAGTACACCAATCCTAGTACTTGGACCCCAAAGTTAGTTTTGTTTAGCGGAATTGCCGTAAAACCCAGGGATAGTCCATTTGCGTCAGTCATCGATAGAACGCTGCCAAACCCCTGGACGAAACATGCTGAAATCTAAATTGTACCCTAAATCCTATACCCTAAATTCTAAGGCCGAAATCATAAAGATGAAGAACAGCACTACCAGGGCTGCCACTCTTGACATGTTTCGCGAGTTGCGTGAGCTCCACTATATGTTGTGCTTCGAGGTGCTGTTTAGGGTGGAGTGCGGAGTTCAGGTATTACAGGGTCCTTGCGGGATGGGTTCATGGCGGGTACCTTTGGGAAGCTTAGGGAAGCTTAGGGAGTAGTGTGGAGTGTACGAGAACTTTGGGTTACATACCCCCTTGAACCGCCCTCTCTTAGGGACCCTAAAGCTTAACATTCATGCGGTCAAATGCATGAAGATGAAGACGCCCGAAAGTCCTTCAGCATGCACGGCAACAGCACCGGACGACTTTTCCAAGCGAACTGGCCCTAAACCCTAACCCCTAACCCCTAACCCCAAACCCTCAACCCCAAACCCTAAACCCTAAACCCTAAGCCCTAAACCCAGTATTCTGGCAGCATTACCCTGGGAGGGCCTGGCGCCAGGTTGTCGATGGACGTCCGCATCGCAGAACGACACGCACTTTGAATGCGAGGACATGCCCCAGCCTTCGGTCCGTACTGCAAGATTCGGGGGTCCTAGGGTTTAGGGTTTAGGGTTAGGGTTTAGGGTTTAGGGTTAGGGTTTAGGGTTTAGGGTTTAGGGTTTAGGGTTTAGGGTTTAGGGTTTAGGGTTTAGGGTTTAGGGTTTAGGGTTTAGGGTTTAGGGTTTAGGAGATCCGAAGTGTGGGCCCTAATATGATTTTGGCCCCT